CGCGTTGTTACGGGGAAAATATAAAGGGTGTGTTACCTCCCATATGATTGGCCATACATGAGGAGACCTCAGAAAATGAGCCATCGAGGGTACTTGAGCATGTAGAGCTTTAGGACGAAGATGCAATCGCTGAGACAAGACTTTTATTCGCCTGACGTTTCGAAGTTCGCTGTGAATTCACCATCAGAGACATTAGCAGAAACTGTAGCAGCAACGGGTAATTCATGCACAGAGAGTTGCAGTACAGCCACTATGATACTGCGCACTTATGACAATTAACGACTCCCCTATCGAGGATAATTGCCCGCTTGTGCGCTAATTGCTTGATGACAGGCGTACGTGTCGTGACCTACTGAACTTTCACTATACGTGGTGGAATTGGACGTGATGACTACTCGGCCCTCTGGTTCCCCGATGTTGGCGTTGGATGACGCGTTGGCCTGTGCGCTCCCCAAGTGACGACTTGCTTTGGACAAATTGAGCCTCAACACTGAATACGGATTTGGCAAGTAGTTGGACTTGTTTATAGACTGGGGGCCCATAAACCATGACTAAAGTAATTCGCGGCTCACACGATTGCCACCTCTCGCGAGAATTAGGGCCTCGTCAAATTTGAATCTTTGGCCTGGTCTCGTCGAATGAGCCGCAACTTGAGAATTGGCGTCATTTCTCCACACTTTTGCCGCCTGTTCGGCAGTTCACGTCTTGAGAAGTCTGCAAATTTTTTTCAACATAGTTGCTTTGTCCGCAACTGCACCGTATTCTATAAATCACTCCAGATGTTCCTTTCCGTGATAGGGGGTCCTTTGCTTTAATTATCTGACGCCTTATGGTTGGCTCCGCCAATTTTGCGAGTCCAACTCCAAGTAATGCGAGAAAACGACCGACAGCCTCCGATACATCTCGTTTGCACATGGATCGGTTGACGAACTTGCGCTAGTAGCCATTTTCTCTGAACACCTGTCGAAGATGTTGTATTTCGGCAACTTCGTCTTTCGGTTGACTGCAGTGCGTCTCAACACGCCAATAAGGCATCCTTACGCGACTGCGTTTGTGGCTGATTGGGTGGATGCTGCTGAAGTTTAGTACTTTCATCGTATCTATCGCTTTTCTGAATACTTTGGTCTTTGGGTCACCATAACCTTTGCGGCAGACGAGGATGTCAAGGAGAGCCAACTGGTTGTTATCTTCATCCTCCATCGTAAGTTGCATGTCCGACAGGCGAATAAAAGTCTTGTCCCAATGATAGCATCTTTTTCTCAGGTCGGGCTTTCCTGTAAGTCCGCCTGGAAAAAACGGCTTGCCGTTCAAATTTCTTAGGGAATTTTTGGTTTAAGGGAATAGAAGGGAAGGGGTAAACCAGGGACCGTTTAGGTGCAGAAGATTGCGCAAAAAGAAATTAAAGACGCTTGTAAATGTTATACTTAACAAAAAATTTCGATGAAAATGTTGATAAAGCGCAAGGAAGACAGAAAAGAAAGTATGCAGACTAAGAAATATATCAAAGCAACTCCTATTGGTTAAAAATGGAAGCCTATAAACTAAGGAAACTATGAGAGCAAATCCATTTACCATTAGACTGCCTCACAAGAAAACCCTACCTTTAAACATACCTGGAAGAAGACTCAGCAGTGATGACGCCATAAGTTACCGTATGAGATTTGCAAATAAATATTTCAGTTGCATATCAGTCGGAACACAGTGAGTGAGAATTAATTTACGAATTTCCGGGGATCGGCCACCTCAACTTCCTTAAAGAGGTATTTTAACAGTTTATTCCATGGCTATGGCCTTTTCAATTTCGACCTTAAAATTATAGTGACTGCGCTCACCAATTCTACTAAGTTTTCGATACATTCTTTCTTTTCTTGCCAAGGAGAGGACTGTTGATGATTTTGATGAAGAAGCGAAGGAAATGTGTACTTGCTCTAGCTTAGGCTGTGAAAGTAGACCTGTAGTAACGTAAAAGTTACAATAATAGCTGTGAGAACACAGAGTTGATCTACCAATTGGGTCACACAAACTCGCAATTTGTCGGATGTGTTCGTAAGCATAAGGTAACATGGGAACATGATCTGGTCTGATTTTGGAACATAACACGGCAGTTTACTATGTTTCCCTTCAGTTATGATCCAGAGCTCTGGCAGCCGGCCACCCAGTTGGCAGGCTGAGGGCGGAGTTTAACCAGACAGCGGCCGTTCTAGTCATTAAGATGGTTACTAATGCTTGCGAAAAAGATCCTTAAGAAGTGGACTCTTAATCACTGCCGGAAATAACTAGAATGATATATCCTTGGCACCCTGGCCTCATTCTCTTCAGGGTTGTGTGCGCATGGACCGAGTCCTGACGGTACCTCCAACGGATTCTGCAATAGGTCAGCCTAAATGTATTTAGAGAAACCTTATCTCCACTTATAAACTATGTCTTATGGCTTTCAATTTTAAAGTCCTCCTGGTGACTGCTATGATCTTCGTGACAATGTTGGATAGTAGAGGCACGCATCTGAATCACAAGCGGATATTTAATGCGAAAACCAATATTCTCATGTCAGCAAGCCTCGCCTTACTTCCTGGACCCTGATATAGAATCAGAAAATGCGGAATTCAAGTTGGGACCTGAGCGTGACAGACTACAGAGTGTAGTTG